TGGTGTATGGAAGATGGCAAGGAGGGGAGAGAGAGGAGGAGAGGTTATTGTTTGGAAGGGGAATCCCCGTCCATAAGGAATTCAGGTATCAAGGCCTTATCCGGGGTTACTTCCCTTCTTTGTCTTTTACTGGCACTAGGACCAGCTTGAGTCTCACTGGACCCTTGTTGCACAAAGAATCTGTCCAAAGAGCTCTGTTTCTGGCATCTCGTTAAGATTTGCCTACAATGGGACAAGGCATTGTCATTGAACATGTTGTAGACACACCTTGTAACAGTTTTGTTAGTGTGATATTTCTGCACAAAACTTTGCAACTTGCTCCACTTTGCACACATGTCCTTAATCACTGAAGAAGGCACATTCTCCTCTCTCTCTTCCTCCTCCTCTGAAGCAATTTCTTCAGCTGCAGTCTACTGCTGTTCCAGATGAAGGTCTTGCAGCTCTTCAGTGCTTAGCTCTTCCCTGTGGTCGTCCACCAACTCTTCCACATCCTGGCCACTCACATCCAACCCCATGGACTTCCCCAAAGACACAGCAGATTCCACTTCCCGTACATCCTGGAGAGACTGGCTGCGCGTATACTACTTTCGTACTTTGCTACGAGTTCTTTCTTGAATTCTATCACGTTTCTCACCTTCTTTATCAAAGGGCTGGCACTTAGAGGTGATGCTCCTCAACGAGAAACAAAGGTAGACTGAGTCATGAATGCATGGGATGCTTTGTGTGGGAGCTTGAGTGGCTGAGTCATGCGGGCAGGAGGACGAGTTTGGTATGGACAATTTTCAACTCTACGAAAACCAAGTGGATGTACGAAAATTGGGACAAAATTTCAATGAAAAAAGTAGTTGAAAACCGAATTCTACGAAAACTGAGGCATATGAAAACCGAGGTTTGACTATGTTAAAACTATATATGCATTTGCTCAATATCATGAACATAGGTAAAACATTATAACGAATATATCCTTACTAACAATATCTGTAATCAACAAATGTTAATCATACCATTGTGGTCACCTTAGGCTAATAATCAAAACTAATTAAAACTTCTTAAAGCCATATAGCAAGAACTAATAGAATATTCAATTCTCTTGTACTCATTGAAACTCATCTAATGATCATATGTACAAAATTACTGCACTGTTATTGCCTTATTAATCTTAAGTTAGTCTTAAGTTTGCCCAAAATGCTCTGCATATAAAGGGGCTTTTGGCATGTATACCCAATTGTTATACTCCTTTGTACAAACATGTATCATGCTGAAATAAAATTATTATTATTATTATTATTATTATTATGTGTGAAGCGTGGGTGATGAATGTTGCAGCGAGGAGAAGGCTGGAGGCAGTGGAGATGTCATGTCTGAGGGCAATGTGTGGTGTGAATATAATGCAGAGAATTCGTAGTTTGGAAGTTAGGAGGAGGTGCGGGATTACCAAAACTGTTGTCCAGAGGGCTGAGGAAGGGTTGTTGAGGTGGTTCGGACATGTAGAGAGAATGGAGCGAAACAGAATGACTTCAAGAGTGTATCAGTCTGTAGTGGAAGGAAGGCGGGGTAGGGGTCGGCCTAGGAAAGGTTGGAGGGAGGGGGTAAAGGAGGTTTTGTGTGCGAGGGGCTTGGACTTCCAGCAGGCATGCATGAGCGTGTTTGATAGGAGTGAATGGAGACAAATGGTTTTTAATACTTGACGTGCTGTTGGAGTGTGAGCAAAGTAACATTTATGAAGGGATTCAGGGAAACCGGCAGGCCGGACTTGAGTCCTGGAGATGGGAAGTACAGTGCCTGCACTCTGAAGGAGGGGTGTTAATGTTGCAGTTTAAAAACTGTAGTGTAAAGCACCCTTCTGGCAAGACAGTGATGGAGTGAATGATGGTGAAAGTTTTTCTTTTTCGGGCCACCCTGCCTTGGTGGGAATCGGCCAGTGTGATAATAAATAATAAAAAAAAATTATTATTATCAATGTTAACCATGATGCATTACTTGGACCTGTCTGATCTTAAATTTTTTCTAAGGTATGAAGAGGTTGCAGGAGACTCAAGCAGTTGTGCTGAGATCAAAAATACTGATCTCAGCACAACTATTTAGCATTTCTGAAGCCATGAAAAATTGTGCCTAGCACGTCAGACACAGTTATCACTTGCATACTAGTATGTCACACACAGTCATCACATGCATACGTGGACACAATTATAAGGTTAAATACCACTAATTCCCCATCAATCTAAACCTTCTAACCTTCCTTCCTCTCTTACATTCCTATTTTTTCCATTCACTCTCACAAACTCCTAATGTATCTAACACAGCAACAGGGGAGGTGGTTTTTTTTTTTACTGTTGTAAAGGTGACTAAAATGTCAAAAGCAAAGTGCTAGTAACTCCCACTCCTGTATAAATTGCTAAATTCAAAACGAACATTTTAAAGTTAGGATTTTTGAATGTGCTTGGATGTTGTATAGATAAGAAAGAGTTGATTGTTAAAGTTATGAATGAAAATTTGGATGTCCTAGCTCTAAGCAAAACAAAGCTGAGGAGGTAGAAGAATTGCAGTGGGGAGAACTAAATGGGATTAGGTCTGGTGCACCTGAGAGAAGAGATAAGGAGGAAGCAGGGGTAACATTGAATGATCAGTTATGAAAAGAAAAAAGGGAATAGCACAAATTCAAGGATGATGCAGATTAAATGTAATAGCAGGATACAAAGGGGTTAATATTAAATGTTTATGCATCTGGGAAAAAGAGGAGTGTAGAAAGATTTTGGAAAATGTTGTGTTTCGAGTTTTGAACCAAGTAAGAAAGTAACTGTTGTGGGGCTATGTTAAAGTCAGAGAAGCTACTGTGGAGGGAGTAATAGGTAATAACGTACAAATAACCCACACATAGGAGAATGAAACTCGGGACAATGTTTTGGTCTGACCTGGACCATTAACTAATCCGGCTGAAATGTTCTCATAAGTTTCATTCTCCTACGTGCAGGTTTTATTTGTGTATTGTTCCAGTCATGGTACTGGGCCTTTTTATTCTTCATGTAGTAGGCAAGTTTTGGGTGCCAGGGGTAAATAATAATGGGTGGCCAATAGATCTAACAGCTTAAAACAAGAGATGAATTGTTAGATGGGAAGTTGGAGGTATTGAGAAGATGGAGGAAATATTCCGAGGAGCTGTTAAATATTGATGAATATAGGGAGGCAGTGATTTCATGCACAGGGCGGGGAGTTATAACATTTATTTGGCATGATGATGAATCAGATGTGAATGTAGGGAAGGTGCATGAGGAAATGGATAGAATGAAATGGGGTAAAGCAACTGCAATTGATGGGATCAAGTCACAAATGTTAAAAGCAGATGAGGATATAGTTTTGAGGTGGTTGGTGCATTTGGTCAATAAATGTATGAAAGGGGGTAAGGTACCTATGGAGTGGCAGGTAGCATACACAATTCCTTAGTATAAAGGAAAAGGAGATAAAAAGGAAGTGTAAGAATTAAAGGGAAACAAGCCTGTTGAGTATACATGATAAAATGTACGAGTTATTTGCGTATAGTCATTATTAAAAGAATGAAGGATAAGAGAGAGAAGGATTGCAGAGGAACAAGATTTTAGGAAGGGAAGGGGATATGTAGTTGAAGGTAAAGAAATCTTCATTGACTATTTGGATTTAGAAAAGGCATATGATAGTGAATAGGGGAGCAGAGAGGCAGGTGTTGCAAGTGTATGGAATAAGTGGTAGGTTGCAGAAGGATAGTGAGGCTCAAGTTAGGGTATGTAGGAGAGCAAGATTATTTTCCAGTAAAAGTAGGCCTTAGACAGGAATATGTTGTCACCATGGTTGTTTAACCATAGATGGGGTAAGTAAAACAAGTGAATGCTAGAATGTTATGAAGAGGTGTGCGATTAAAGATAAAGAATCTGACAAGGTGGAAGTTGGTATGGTTGCTTTTTGCTGGTGACACTGCTTTTGGGAGAGTCTGAAGAGAAGTTGCAGAGGTTGTTAGACAAATTTGGAAGGTTATGTAAAAAGGTAATTAAATGTGAATATAGGAAAGAACAAGGTGATGAGAGTAACAAAAAATTTAGGTAATGAAAGATTGGATATCATACTGGAAAGAAGGAATATGGAGGATGTAAATATGTTCAGATACTTGGGAATGGACTTCTTGGTAGACAGGCCTGTGAAATATGAGGTGATCCATAAAATTAACAAAGGGGAGAAAAAGGTGGGTGGTATAAAGAATCTTATCCATGGAAGCAAAAAGGGAATTGTACCAGGGTATAGTGGTACCAACACTCTTATATGGGTGTGAAGCATGGATTTTAAATGCTGCAACAAGGAGGCTGGAGGTACTGGAGATGTGTTAAGGGCAGTGTAGTGTGAATATTGTGCAGAGAATTCAAAGTTTGGAGATTAGGTGGTGTGGGGTTACTAGAAGTATGTACAGTACTTCCAGAGGGTTGTGAAGGCATTATTGAGATGCTCTGGACATTTAGAGAGGGTGGAGCAAAATAGGATGACTTAGAGGGTATATAAATCTGAAGTGCAGGGAAGGAGGGGTAGGAGTCATCCTAGGAAACACTAGAGGGGTAACAGTGGGTTTTGTGTGAGAGGGGTTTTGACATCTAACAAGAATGAGCAAGCATGTTAGACAGGAGTGAATGAAGGCAAGTGGTTTTTATGACTGTGCTGTTGGAGAATGAGCAAAATAACATTTATAAAGGGATTCAGGCAACCAGTTAGCCAGACTGAAGTCCTGGAGGTGAGAGGTACAGTACCTGCACTGTGAAGGACAGGTGGGGATACTGGAGTTTGGAGTGGCATCTGAGCTGCAATGCTGGCACAACTCTGGCAAGACTGATATACTGAGTAATGGTTAGTGTTTCTTCTTTTTCAGGTCACCCTACCTCAGTTGGAGACAGCCAGCATGAATAAAAAATGTTGAAATTACAATTTAAGTAATGCCTATATCTTACAAAATACACACCCAAGAACTTTTAATACAAAATGCTAACCATCAATATCTTCATCTCTCAGTATGTCATAATTTTTGCCACCGGTTTCATCATCATCATCATCATCATCATCTTCCTCATCCGAGTCTAAAGAATGCTTCTTCTCTTTCTGTGGAATCAAATCTTCACGTTCAGAGTATTTAACATCTTTGCTTGGTACGTAATCTTCATCATCATCATAACTATATGGTCCGGATGGTCTTTTCCTTGACATCTGTAGATAACAAGATTTAACTTAATAAACAATTAATGAACAAGACAAACTTACAATAAAAATTTGAATATTAAGCTTTCCTTCTGTAATCCAAAACTGGAAAAAATCACAAATCAAATCCTGAGTATTGTACAGTACCATGCAAAAATTCACAGTTCACAATCTGAGAGAATGTTAGACATTTTGGAACTGTGCTTCTGGAAAGACAATATGGGATAATGAATGTATTTCTTTGGGTCACCCTGCCTCAGTGGAGAATGGCCAACGTTGAAAATAAAATAAAGAAAAAACACTACTCGAGTGGCTAGCACCAAGTCAAAAGAAAATGAACACGTGGCCAGAAGTTGGGTTGTGCCAACACAGTCAGGACTAGAGGTAGAGGGATGGGTGAAGGGAGAGAGGGAAGAGCATTAGTGAGATATTTATTCACAGAACCATAATATGCACACACTAATCCAGATGAAGACAGGCTGTTGGTCGGCAGGGAAGGGAGGGAGGGTTATGGGGATAGAGGAGGTTTACAATGAGTTTATTCCCTGATTTTGTATTGTAAAGAGATTAATACTGAATTATTTGTGTCTAAATTTATTTTGAGTTGGTTTTTCAACCAAATCCATTTCTTTTGAGTACATGACCATTTCACACATCAGTGACAAGCTCATTTTGTGATAACACTGGTCAAGAAATGTGAAATTTGTAGTCACAGAAGTAATCTTTTTTGTTATAATGAGTCTGCTCTATGCAGAGTTGATTTACATACCACTGGCAAGGAACACAGCTATCACATAAGAAAGAAGAAACACTACAGCAGGCCTACTGGCCCATGCAAGGCAGGTCCAAGTCTCCCACCGGCTTAAGCCGGTAACCAAACCTAGTCAGGTCAGGTCATATTCACTTAAGGAGGAGCACGGCAACAGACCTACTAGCACAAGCTAGTTACATCCCCTTTATTTATTCCCATTTTCCATTTATGCACCTCAATCATATCCCCCCCTAATTCTATGCCTTTCTAGAGAGAGCAGATTCAGGGCCCTCAGTCTATCCTCATGGGGAAGATTTCTAATACATGGGATCAACTTTGTCATCCTCCTCTGTACGTTTTCCAGAGCATTTATATCCAATCTGCAATACAGTGACCAAAACTGTGCAGCATAATCTAAACAAGGCCTAACCAAGGCTATATAGAGTTGAAGAACAACCTGAGGACTCCTATTATTTATGCTTCTTGATATGAAGCCAAGAATTCTATTCACTTTATTGCAAACACTTATGCACTGTTGTCTTGGTTTTAGATTACTGCTAACCAGAACACTCAAATCCTTTTTGCAATCAATAATATTAAGATCTACATTATTTAGTTATATATGGCATGGTTATTTTCCTGTCCAATGTTTAGAACTTTGCATTTCCTTATATTAAGCTGGATCTGCCACTTCTCCGACCATTGCATCAGTCTATTCAAATCTACCTGGAGTGCTCTAATGTCCTCATCAGATTGAATTTGTCGGCCTATTTTGGTGTCATTGGCAAACTCGCTTATATCGCTATTTATTCCCTCATCTATGTCGTTTATGTAGACTGTGAACAACAAGAGGCCCAACAGTGACCCCTGTGGAACACCACTCGTGACACTTCCCAACTCAGATTTTTCCCCATTTATGCAAACTCTCTGCTGCCTATCTGTCAACCACGCCTCTATCCAGGAAAAATTTCTCCTCCTTTTCAGTGTGCTTTAATTTTCCTCAATAGTCTCTGATGTGGGACTCTTATCAAAAGCCTTACTAAAGTCCATATACACAATATCATATTCATTACCATGATCTACCTCTTCACATACCTTAGTGAAAAAAGTTAATAAATTCGTAAGGCAGGAACGTTCTTTTCTAAAACTGTGCAGAGATTCGTTGATAAATTTATGCTTTTCGAGATGGTTACAAATTGCCTCAGCAATTATCGATTCCATAAATTTTCCCACTATGGAGGTTAGGCTTACTGGTCTATAGTTTGAAGCTAAGGACCTGTCACCTGCTTTGAAAATAGGTATCACATTTGCCATTTCCCACTTTTCTGGCACTATATACACTGTATTTTCGGAAAATATACATTATTTTCCACAGCAACTACTGTTACAGGACTGGACTCAGTCACCTTTAATAAACGAAGAATAATTCTCTTGTGCCAGTTTGTAGTGATATGTTGAAAAGATTAGTCAAAGGTTTGCTAAGCTCTTTACATTCCTTTAGAACCCTTGCATACAGCTCATCAGGGCCCGGGGATTTGTTAGGTTTTAATTTATCTATTTGTCTAGTCATGTAACTTGTGACCCTAATCATGCATAGTTTATCATCATCCTGTTCTACACAATTTATTATTTCTGGAATATCGCTAGTATCTTCCTGTGTAAAAACTGAGAGGTAGTAAGCGTTAAAAATTCTACACATTTCCTTATCACTGTCGGTGAGCTGACCCAAGTAACTTTTGAGTGGGCCTATCTTGTCCCTAATCTTACTTCTGTATACCTGAAAGAATGCTTTTGGGTTAGTCTTCAATTCCCTTGCAACTTTAACCTCATAATCTCTTTGCTTTTCTTATTCTCTTTTTTATATCTCTAACTGAATATATTGATTTCTTAACTGCTCCTCTCCTCTTTTGATTTGCCTATATATGCCTCTCTTTTGACCAATGTTTTAATCTAATGTTTATCCATTTAGGATCATTTTTGTTTGATCTGATTTCCCTATTCGGAACACAAGTTGTCTGAGCAGTTAGAACTATGCTCCGGAAAACGTCATATCGGCAGCCATCACCACCTACCTGACTCATAGTCAGGTCATTCCAGTTCAGCCCACCCAGGTAATTTCTCAATCCTATGAAATCAGCCAAGTGGAAGTCAGGGACAGAGACTTGATTGGCATTATTAGGGTAATTCCATGATACTGTATATTAAAACTGAGTGATTTGTGATGATTTTCTCAATGTTCATCATTAACCTGAAGATTATTAATTAGTGATCCCCTGTTGGCAAGAACCAAGTCATAAAGGGGCACTGGTACTGCTATAAGATAAAATTATTCATATACATGTACTACTATCTTTTTAATAGGCCATGAAAATGGGGAACTGTAATTACTTTCTTAAAAGGCTATAAAAATTCTTATTAAAGGCTTTTCATACAAAATACAGTATTATAATGGTGTATGATGCCTGGTTGCAGTGTGTTATCTTGACAACTTGCTTATGTGAAAGATAAAAAGGCTCTTAATTTAGCATGCATCTCACCACAACATGGTGTGATGCGATATAAGAACATAAGGAGAACTGCAGCAGGCCTACTGGCCCATGCAAGGCAGGTCCAAGTCACCTACCAGCCTATGCCACTGACCCATCCAAGTTAGGTCCAGGTCACATCCACTTAAGGAAGGAGCAAGGAATCAGGCCTACTAGCACAAGCTAGTCAGGTCCAATTCACACCCACTCGTGTATTTATCTAACCTATTTTTAAAACTACACAACGTTTTAGCTTCTATGACGGTACTTGGGAGTTTGTTCCACTCATCCACAACTCTATTACCAAACCAGTGCTTTCCTATATCCTTCCTGAATCTAAACTTTTCCAACTTGAAACCATTATTGCGAGTCCTGTCTTGGCTAGATATTTTCAGCATGCTATTTACATCCCCTTTATTTGGTATACCAGTATGGGGGGAAAAAAATTTGTAGATTAACAAGGTACCCTTAGCGTAGTCACCCTTCAAGTTACTGGCAACCTAACGGTGCTTAATGTGAATGACTGGGCAACATGTGCTTCATTTGTAGTGCTACATCAGAGGTGCTCATCAGACTCAGTCATTAAGCTACCACTGATACCCAAACTCATTGGTAGCATGTTCAGCTCTCAATCAAGAGATGCAGGTTCTATCCTCAGCAAGTGCACCCAGCTCACACACTGAGGTTCACGGGTTGATCCCTGGTATGGGTGGAAACATTAGGATGTGTTTCCTAAAGTCACCTGCTGCCCATTTTCACCTATCAGTTAAACAGGTACCTGAGTGTTAGTCGACTGGTGTGGGTCACATCCTAGGACAAAACTGACCTAATTTGCCCAAAATGCTCTGCATAACAATGGGCTCTCTATATAGTAGTATGTCACTGATGTCAGCTAGGCCTGTATACACTGTACATGTACTTATAGAAATAAAGACTATTATTATTATTATGATTATTATTACCAGTAAACTGAATATGCTTTTCTGCTGAATTATGCCAACCAACAAATATTACACACTCAGATCCAATTTATAATCACAGTATAACATACTATACAGTAGTATTTTGGTTTTCATCACTTGGTAAACCCTTGATTAAATGGACTAACAGGGAGGAGAGAAATGGGTGGCCAGCAATGGCAACAGCAGAGAAATGAGGTAGTTTTGCTGTGATCATAACAATAATAGACAATTCTGTAATCTCAATCAAGATTGCAGTTCTGAACATTGCTCCAAGGCTGTTTTTTGTCCCTGTATTGTACTGATAAAGCCACTGGTTGGCAAAATGTCTACATAATAAAGATACCCAGTAGTTGTACTTATGTCAAATATTTCAATTATTGTAACCAACAGACTTTATCTATTGTTTACAAATCAACTGACCCAACAGATTTTGACATATTTCTGAAGTTGGTTAAATTTGAGGATTTACTTTTACGTTTTGTATGACCAACAACATTATTACTTGAACATAAACACAGCACACGATTACATAAAATACGAAACAATAGAAACAGGTCATACTATTTAATTTGGGTTATCCTGCATGCCGGTATTATATTCATAAGGAAGCATTAAACCCATATGGGTCATACAGTGCCTGGGAAATGAGGTCTGAGTTGAGGAAGGGAAGGACAGTTTCAATTCCTTGAAGGAAGTGTTTGTCTATACTAATGCTTAAAACGACCTTTGTAGAAAATTTTGTAAAAAATACAAGTTTAGGGGAATAAACCATTAAAAAAAAAATACGCAGACTGTTATTTTTAAATTCTGATATTAAGCACATAGTTTTTTTTAGGCAAGGAGAATAAATCTGAAAAGAAATGTACATGTACAGGTCATACAGTAATAAGTAACATCTAAAGATAAAAATTCAGACCAGGTCCTGTGATTTAAACATAAATGAATCCCTAAAATGTTCAATATTATGAATGTTTGGCCAGGTAATATTTTATGCAAATGCAAATGAAAAAAAAAAAAAAAAGGAAAGATAACCTAACAAAATTTAAAATAACTCAATCTAAAGATTTTAACATAGTAAGTTCATTCAGGTATAGGTACACACAAACATTGACAAAATTATCACGACCATAACAATACACAGATCTCTTTTTGATGTACCTCGTGTCCATATCACACTGTGTAAAAACTCTATGCACATAAAGGGCCCCAAAATCTGGAATTCATTACCAGAAGATACTAAAGTAACCCAGTCTGAAAATCAATTTAAGACTTCTCAAAAGCCACTTAATCACCCTAGACTAAATACTAAATACTCAATACTCACATACTCAATTATGTATTCCCATATCATAATTTCAACAATTACTTTTGAACCTTTTATCCATTGTTGACAGGAATATAACTGAATCATTGTTTTCACAAAAAGCATTTTTGAATATATGAATATATCTTTTGACTTGTATAAATTAGATTCACTTATAATTAATAATCTACCGTACAACTATGATATAATTAATAACCTACTGTACAACTATGATATAATCCTTAGTGTTAAGTAGTCAGTAAGCCAATAATGTTAAGTTGACCCATAATGCCTAGGCATAATAGAGGCTGTCTTTGCACTGCAACCCATTATTGTAAATACATAATCTCAATGTACTATTTGCAAAGACATAAATAAATAACAGAAGTGAATAAATAGCAGCATATGTGTAATTACCTAGGATAACCCCCCAAAAAATAGAGTTGAAGTGACTTATTTCAACTGGAGTCCTTAACCTACTCCACCAGATGTAGATATAATACAGCTTTTACTTATAATCACTGTGGTCTGTCATGTCAAGTGACTCAATACTAATCAATGATTACCTTTGATGTGGTATCCCAGTTAAAACAGTCCTAAGTTTTCAAATGTCTCCCAAAATAACAATGTTTGCCCACATAAATACCTCATTTTATTTAAAAAAAGAATTAGCGATTTCTGAAAAGTGGCCGGACCTGGACCAGGATATTAGCTCATACATAACTTATTACACTGTTGCAGTAAACACTAAACCTGTAAGGGGGTCATAGTGGAAAATGGTTGGCAGTCAAGCTCGACCCAAAGGGGGAGGAAAAGTTAGACTCCTTGAATCAAGGGCTCCTCCCCAGCATCAAGGAACCTTCCTGGAAGGGCAAGACAACCCAACAATGACAAATATCACCATTTACTTTCAAGTGTCCACTGAGTGTACCACTTGTCCTCACTGATTAACATTAAACATGCGGGACAGGAAGGTCTTCAACTGGTTATGTATCTCACCATGATATCTGAGGCCAAGACACAGGTAAATACAATAATAAACAATCAAGTATACACTATAGTGTATAATTAAGATAACAAGCCTGCTGCTGCGTCTCACTCAGGAATCTTGACTCAGGATATTTCAAAGTCTGTAGAGTCTCTGAAACTATCTATTAAAATATCTAACATACACACAGGGTAAAAATGTTGATTACCAAATATCACAATAATACAGCGCCATCTATTGAATAGATTAATAACTACTCTAGGTGAGGTAAAACTACATTTATATTAACACCGGTGGGTTAGTATACCAGAAAAAGGACTTTATAGGAAGGGAGAACCTTGATGCTGATGATGGGATCATGATGAAAGAAATTGGAGCCACCCCCACCTTGCCTTGCATCAAACCTGGATGACTTACATATCCCACATCCTTCATATCCCATTTGGGTTCAGCGCTTCCCTACAAATATAATAATAATCTTTATTTCTACATGTACGAGGTATACAGGCCGACCTGACATCAGTGACATGCTACTATATAAGTCCCTTAAAAAACCATACCCCCGGCCGGGATTGAACCCGCGGTCATAGAGTCTCTTAAGTCATATAAGTCCCTTGTTATGCAGAGAATTTCCGGCAAATTGTGTCAATTTTGTACTTAGGATGCGACCCACACCAGTCGACTAACACCCAGGTACTTATTTTACTGATGGGTAAACAGGGACAGCAGGTGTCTTAAGGAACATGTCCTAATGTTTTCACCCGTACCGGGGATCGAACCACGGACCTCAATGTGTGAGATGAGTGAGCTAGCACATGGATAACCCATCCCCAGGATGGGACCCACAACACTGGCTAACACTCCATTGGAAATAAGTCACTTTGTCTGACTTATCCGGGTTATCCTAGGTAATCTACACATATGCTGCTATGTATGATAATTGCACTTACATGTCTTGTACCTAAAAAAAACTTACACCCAGGTACCTACTTACTGCTTGGTGAAGAAAGGCAACAGGTGCAAGAAAACATACCCAATGTTTTTACTTGTACTCAGATCGAATCCCAGCAGTTCAGATGTGAACTGTAGGTCCTTCTTCAGGGTGCTAATCACAATAGTCAACTATCTCTTAGTTACAATATTAAAATGGTATATAATACCGACAGGTTGAAGAGTAAAACACGTACAACATTAAGAATATAATAGAATCATGTTTCATAAAAAATAGTTTTGAAATTACTATGAATATTGCTTTAGGATTATACAAATTAGACTCATTTATAATTAATAAAATTTGGAAAGAATTTAAGATATATTTGAAAAGTTAAAATCAGGTAGAATATAAGCTGTGTTGGACAGGTCCTTGACCACCTCACCCACATCATTATAAAGGGTCGGGGGTTGTATGTTAACTGCGAGGTGTAATCTTGCCTTGATATGCCTTCTGCTGATTTTTTTATTTTTACAGTTCCTTGACAATGTGAGAAATCACTTAAGCGCTTGGAAGGTCACTATTTTTTCATAGTGGTTGTTTTGCATATTGTGATATCACCTGTTTACTGTGATCTTATTGAAACATTAGAAATCTTGACAAATTTGACACATGCATAAGTATATTAAGGTACAGGTACACATAAATATTTACACAAATTATCATATATAGTAACAAATGTGTAAATCGCCTAGGATAACCGGTGTTGACCTTTATTGTGGTGTGATTTTAAGATAAAAATTGTTCGGATTTTTAAACCGGACGGTTAACCACCCCTCGGGGGTTCTTAACCTTGTTCCCCAGGATGCGACCCACACTAGTCGACTAACACTCAGGTACCTACTTACTGCTACGTAGGTGAACAGGGACAGCAGGTGTAAGGTGGCTAACATCCAGGTACCTACTTATTGCAAGATGAACAGGGGCAGCAGGTATAAGGATACATGCCCAGCGTTTCTACATGTGCCAGGGATTGAACTGTGGACACTCAGTGTGTATAAGCTCTCTAATATTTTGGATGTTATTTCCTTGATGTTTAAAAAATGAAAAACTTCTTTGAGAAATGAGGATGTGTGTGGGAAAGGGAATGTTGAGACCTTAGTGTGAGCTGTGTTTCGCTGATGCCTCGACCCCTCTCCACACCACTAAGTAGAAACTGTTGAGAAATGTCACTAGGAGCATTCAAGCTTTCCTAAGCACAAAGACACCCTTAATGTATATGTTTTTTGTATATATTTATAAATATCTTAAATGGTGCTGGTAAATATTGCATTTGTTATAACCCCTACAGATAAACTAACTTTTGATTTACTCTGGTCATTAAATTTATTTCCGTATCTTAGAATACAGATATAATAAACCATTAAATACTACTGAGAAAGCTAATGCAGTTTGAATTTTAGACCTATAAACCTAGGTTAAGTATATAAGTACCACTAGGGATCGAAGAGCTACAGCCTAAGCTTTTTGTCTATTACCCTAGCTTTTATGATATGCTAGGCTCAGAAAATGCTATTATTATTTAGCTTTCATGATCTGCAGAGCTAAGAGAATATCATAATTTTTTTTTGTGCGACTTTATTCCAGAGTTGATCATAAACTGTGGTCGAGTCTTGTGTTCTTTCTCCATCATTTTCGTTTACTACTTGAGAACACTTTATTCAAAGTTTTCGTGTTGCTGAACTATAACCAGGGAAAGATTTATGGAATTATTGTAATGTGATGGTGACCTCTGGTCAGTTTTACCTACAAGTCATCTTGTTGAGCCTTCAACAAGTCATTTTGCTGAACCTTCAACAAGTCATCTTGCTGAACCTTCAACAAGTCATCTTGCTGAACCTTCAACAAGTCATCTTGCTGAACCTTCAACAAGTCATCTTGCTGAACCTTCAACAAGTTATCTTGCTGAACCTTCAACAAGTCATCTTGCTGAACCTTCAACAAGTCATCTTGCTGAACCTTCAACAAGTCATCTTGCTGAACCTTCAACAAGTTATCTTGTTGAACCTTCAATAAGTCATCTTGTTGAACCTTCAACAAGTCATCTTGCTGAACTTTCAACAAGTTATCTTGTTGAACCTTCAATAAGTCATCTTGCTGAACCTTCAACAAGTCATTTTGCTGAACCTTTAACAAGTCATCTTGTTGAACCTTCAATAAGTCATCTTGCTGAACCTTCAACAAGTCATCTTGCTGAACCTTCAACAAGTCATCTTGCTGAACCTTCAACAAGTCATCTTGCTGAACCTTCAACAAGTCATTTTGCTGAACCTTCAACAAGTCATCTTGCTGAACCTTCAACAAGTCATCTTGCTGAACCTTCAACAAGTTATCTTGCTGAACCTTCAACAAGTCATCTTGCTGAACCTTCAACAAGTCATCTTGCTGAACCTTCAACAAGTCATCTTGCTGAACCTTCAACAAGTTATCTTGTTGAACCTTCAATAAGTCATCTTGTTGAACCTTCAACAAGTCATCTTGCTGAACTTTCAACAAGTTATCTTGTTGAACCTTCAATAAGTCATCTTGCTGAACCTTCAACAAGTCATTTTGCTGAACCTTTAACAAGTCATCTTGTTGAACCTTCAATAAGTCATCTTGCTGAACCTTTAACAAGTCATCTTGTTGAACCTTCAACAAGTCACCTTGCTGAACCTTCAACAAGTCATCTTGCTGAACCTTCAACAAGTTATCTTGTTGAACCTTCAATAAGTCATCTTGTTGAACCTTCAACAAGTCACCTTGCTGAACCTTCAACAAGTCATCTTGCTGAACCTTCAACAAGTTATCTTGTTGAACCTTCAACAAGTTATCTTGTTGAACCTTCAATAAGTCATCTTGTTGAACCTTCAACAAGTCATCTTGCTGAACCTTCAACAAGTTATCTTGTTGAACCTTCAACAAGTTATCTTGTTGAACCTTCAATAAGTCATCTTGTTGAACCTTCAACAAGTCATCTTGCTGAACCTTCAACAAGTCATCTTGTTGAACCTTCAACAAGTTATCTTGTTGAACCTTCAATAAGTCATCTTGTTGAACCTTCAACAAGTCATCTTGCTGAACCTTCAACAAGTCATCTTGTTGAACCTTCAACAAGTTATCTTGTTGAACCTTAAAACAAGTCATCTTTGCTGAACTTTCAACAAGTTATCTTGCTGAACCTTCAATAAGTCATCTTGTTGAACCTTCAACAAGTCATCTTGCTGAACCTTCAACAAGTCATCTTGCTGAACCTTCAACAAGTTATCTTGTTGAACCTTCAACAAGTCATCTTGTTGAACCTTCAACAAGTCATCTTGCTGAACCTTCAACAAGTCATCTTGTTGAACCTTCAACAAGTTATCTTGTTGAACCTTCAAAAGTCATCTTGTTGAACCTTCAACAAGTCATCTTGCTGAACCTTCAACAAGTCATCTTGTTGAACCTTCAACAAGTTATCTTGTTGAACCTTCAATAAGTCATCTTGTTGAACCTTCAACAAGTCATCTTGCTGAACCTTCAACAAGTCATCTTGTTGAACCTTCAACAAGTTATCTTGTTGAACCTTCAACAAGTCATCTTGCTGAACTTTCAACAAGTTATCTTGCTGAACCTTCAATAAGTCATCTTGTTGAACCTTCAACAAGTCATCTTGCTGAACCTTCAACAAGTCATCTTGCTGAACCTTCAACAAGTTATCTTGTTGAACCTTCAACAAGTCATCTTGTTGAACCTTCAACAAGTCATCTTGTTGAACCTTCAACAAGTCATCTTGCTGAACCTTCAACAAGTCATCTTGCTGAACTTTCAACAAGTTATCTTGTTGAACCTTCAATAAGTCATCTTGCTGAACCTTCAACAAGTCATCTTGCTGAACCTTCAACAAGTCATCTTGTTGAACCTTCAATAAGTCATCTTGCTGAACCTTTAACAAGTCATCTTGCTGAACCTTCAACAAGTTATCTTGTTGAACCTTCACCAAGTCATCTTGTTGAACCTTCAACAAGTCACCTTGCTGAACCTTCAACAAGTCATCTTGTTGAACCTTCAACAAGTCACCTTGTTGAACCTTCAACAAGTCATCTTGTGAACCTTCAACAAGTCACCTTGTTGAACCTTCAACAAGTCATCTTGTTGAACCTTCAACAAGTCACCTTGTT